TTAGGTGTTGATAGTGATGATGAGGAGGCGGATGAAGATTTGGACATGGTTGATAGCGATGACGATATGTACAATCTAGCTAATCCCGATCGTGGAGATCGTTTCTAATACATGTAATATTATCTGTTTTTGTAATTATATTCATTTTGCATGTAATTATCTTCATTTTGCATCTCTTTCTAATTATGTATCGTTTATATATGCTAATTGTTTTGTTCTTTTTTAATGCAGGAGATGCCACCCAGGAGGTCTGTCCAGTCTCTTTACGCTAGCCTGGAGGAGCCGGAGGCGTCGGTTCAGCCTCCGGAGCCGGTGCCGAGGCGGAGGAGCCGCAGGCGTCCGAGCAGGATGCAGCCGACTACCCCTCCGGCCGTGGAGGAGCCTGCGGCCGTGGAGGAGCCTGCCGTCGCGATGGAGCATGCGGATGCAGGGGGGTCCTCCACCTCAGGGGACGAGGCGACTGCAGGGGGATCCACTTCCTCTGGTGTGTCGACGGTGTACTTGCGTGGTCCCGCGAAGCTCCCGCGTCGACCAATACCTGAAGCGGCCCGCCCGCTGATCACACCCTTTGGGGATAGGTAAGTAACTTAAGATGTGCTCGAAACTTCTTCATTTGAAATGTTGAAAATCAAAACACAAACTAATACTTTTTGTAATCACTTGTGCAGGAACTGGAAACTTGTGGAGACTGGAGCCAAGGCATGCAAAGTGAATGGCATCCTAGGAGGTCTGTGCAGGGAGCACTACCCTGGCCTGGTGGAGGTGAGCCCGGACATGTTCGAGCCGGCCACTCAGTTCAACCACTACAAATTGGCCGCCGATGCCATGGATCGTAGTGGCCACAGATACAGAAACAAGGCAGAGCGGGTCGTCAGGGACCTGTCGGTAAGTCTTTCAGGCACACATTGTATTCTTTTAGCCACAGATACATCGTATTCATTGGGCATTCTTCTAATAAGTAATTGATACCTCGCGCCTTTATGTAGGATTTCTTTAGAATCGAGGAGGGCAAGGAGCACAGGGCGTACCAGGTGGCGGTCGCTTCTTGTAAGAAGCGCGTCACGGACATGATTCACGATGCGCGTCATCAGGCGCACATTTGGCACTACGCGAAGGTCCAAGGGCATAGCATCAAAAAGGACGGGGCAAGACAGGTGGTGCTGACCAAGGAGGAGTACCTTGCGGTAAATACGGAACATTACTATTGATTTCTTCTGAGATTAAGTTTCCTTAATTTGATCTTCTGATATATCGTTTGCTTGATGGCCTGTAGGCGATTCCTAACTGGTGCAATCGGCATCCGGATGCCTGGGAGAGGATTGTGGACATGTGGCTCAGCCAGGACTGGAAGAAGGAGCATGATGAAGCACGCGAGCGCCGTTTGCTGATGCAAGGAGTACCACACCATCAAGGCAGCCGTAACCTCTCCGAATTCTCAGAAGCTTGGGTAAGGCGAAACCATTTCTCTAACCTAACACTCAATTCTGCAACAACTCTAACAATGTTATTGTCTTTCTCGCAGTCGGCGTCACATGGTGGCCGCCCTTGTGGTCACCTCAAGGCATATGCCTTGTCCCACTTGGGCAAGGCGACGTCCGCCACCGACTGGACCCTGGAAGTCCCTGCCGAGTCGTTCACCAACGCTAGCATTGCCCCTCGCATCTCTGCGTACATAGAGATGGCAAGGTCAGTCCACGGGCCAGACTACGACCCGACCACCGAGGAGTGGCTTCATCCAGAGCTCGTGATGAGGGTGGGGCAAGGCAAGAAGCACGGGCGGTTCTGGCTTGGCGACGGTGTCCTCGACACGACCTCTGTTCCTCCACTGCACCAGATCCGAGTAGCGAGCACGAGCTCAATGCCGGCCATACGCCAGCGCCCGACCATGGTGTCGACACTCCAAGTAAGTGTTCTCTTCCATTCCTAGTTCTTTGACTTTTACATACCTTAGCTCCGCAATCTTGAAACATTGGTGTCAAATGTTGCAGGCACAGCTGCAGGCGATGGAGGCCGAGCGGGAGCAGCAGCGGCAGAGGCTGGCAGCTTTGGAGGCAGAGCGGGAGCTCGAGCGGTAGAGGCTGGCAGCTTTAGAGGCCAAGCAGGAGCAGGATCAGCGGCAGATGGTAGAGGTGCTCTCCTACGTGCGGGGTCTTGCGATGACCCAAGGTGGAATGGTCCCACAGTTCCTGCTCGGTCAGCTGCAGCCTACACCTCCACCTCAGCTTGATTCTACTCCGGTGAGTATGACAAATGTTTTAGTTTCTCTAAATGTCAAACCTAGTAAAACCTAGTGAAACCTAGTGCTAGTGGTGATGGTGGTGGGTGGTGGTGGTGGCGTGGTTGGTGGTGGTGGTGGCGTGGTCGTGGTGGTGGCTGCGTGGTTGGTGGAGGTGGTGGCGTGGTGGTGTGGTTGTTGTTGGTGGTAGTAGTGGTGTGGTTGTGGTGGTGGCGTGGTGGTGGTGGTGGTGGTGGTGGTGGTGGTGGTAGTGTGGTGGTGGTGGTAAAAAGTACATGTAGTGCTTGGTTATCTATTTATGTTGTCTAACACGTTCTGCATCTTCTTTGTTTGTGTAGCGTCACCGGGCGCGCCGAACGACCCTAACCTTCTCCTCGTCAACTCCCTAGGATCGCGCTGGCGCGCTTCTCAGCCGGACCGTCGCCATAACCAGTTTGGCGCCTCCTATGCCTCTTGTTTATGTTGCTTGTCGAACTTTACACTTGTGGTTGTCTATGTGTCGAGATTTGTTTGTGACTTCGAATTTCGAGACTTCTATGTGATGTGGATGTGGTTATTGATATGTGGATGTGCTTATTGTGATGTGGATGTCATATATATGTTTATTTGTTGACTGGAAATGCAAAAACAAAAAAAATTAAAATCGGGTGTGTTTTTGCGAGGGCTATGGTCATGCCCTCGGCAAAGTCGGGAATCTGGAACACACAATCCCAGCTTTGCCGAAAAGATGATGACCATAGCGCCGCAAAAAGAGGAAGCCTTTGCCGAGAGCTGAACCATAGCTCTCGGCACAAAAAATGTCAAAAAAAAATTATCAATATTCTTTGCCGAGAGCTCTTCTGACAGACGCTCGGCAAAGTTTTTTGGGAAAAAAATTCAAAAATTCTTTGCCGAGAGCTTGCTAAGGCTCACGGCAAAGATCAACTTTACCGTGACCTCTCCCCGTCACGGCGAAAATTTTTGCCGACGGCCGGCTAACCCTCGGCAAATCCTTTGCCGAGAGCCCGAGATGCGGCTCTCGGCAAAGTAGCCTTTGCCGTGAGGTACTGTGCCGACCGGCCTTTGCCGAGAGCAACTCTCGGCAAAGCCTTTGCCGAGGGCAAAGGCTTCTTTGCCGAGCGTATCCGGCCCTCGGCAAAGAACCTCGTTCCAGTTGTGACACTTCTTTAGAATTGTATCAGATAACTTATCCGGATGATTATTTGGACATTTGTGTTGACCACCAAATAATCTTGTATAAAATAACTTCTTGGAGTTATCATATGAAAGTGATCCTAGCTTGTAAACCTCATCAGCTTCTTTGGCAACTTCAAATTTACGAGTAGTTATGATTATTCTACTTCCACAATTATTTCCAACAAGGGCTAACTTTATTGTTTCCAAAGACTGAGGATCCCATATGTCATCGATAACAACAAAATACCTATCCATACAAAAGTACAATAGCAATTAAAAACAAAGTCCTCTGGTATGAAGCAATAGGTCTATTGGCACCAAGAATAATAATTAAGACACGCTCAGGCACTAACAAACTCCCTCTGTTCTTTTTTTATGTCACATTAGCTTTGTCCTAAGTTAAATATTATTATCTTTGACTATCAGTTTCAAAAAATTTGTATAGGTTCATAATATACAATCTATATGTTGCGAAAGTATAATGATTTTTTAAAATGAATGGTCAAGAAAAGTAATGTTTGACTTCAAATAAAGTTAATGTGACATGTAAAAATGGAGGGAGTAAATAGTTACTTGCTCTGGCGGATCGAAATCTTTCTAACTGGACAGCAATCAATGAATCAACCGATGATAATTAATTATAATATACGGAGTTAATAACGCCTCGTGCATATATGCACGACCAATCTATGTGTAGTAGTGCGATCGAACAATATATTTATATTCGACATAAACTTTATTTCGTCTGGAAGTTAAACTAAAATGGTTTTATTGCACCATGGCACCGCTTATACTATAGACATTTGTGGTTTATTGAACCTTTACAAGCGAATAATATAATAATCCCTCAACCGGGTATAAAATGGAGACCGATGAGCACCTCAGCACTGTATAGTACTGTTCACATCACTGTGTTCAAACACGGTTAAACACTATTTGTCACTATTAATTCACTGTGTATCCACTGTTTAAATATTGCTCATCATTGAACCACTTTGCAACATTTTTCACCCATTTTTTCTGTTTTACTGTTCTTCGCCGTTCGTGTTTTCCATACTGTTTAGCTCGCCTGCGCAGCGTAGCGTGCGTTGCCGGGCTAGTAAGCTATAAACTGCCATGCTAATCACTTCATTTTGTAGCTCCCTTGTCTTCCATCATACATATAGGGTCTGTTTGGTTGAACTGTCGTCGTAGAAAAAAGCTGTTGTAGGTTAAGAGCCGTGAAAAAGCTGTTGTGGGCTGTGAGCCGTAGAAAAGCTGAAAGTTATTTAGTTAAACAAGTATAAAATATACCTCCTATCTTTATCTCTCTTGAAACAATTATGAATTTTTTTTTATTCCACACATTTCGAAAAGGAGAAAGCCAAAAGCAGGGTCAAAACAGCTTCGAAAAATATACTACGGAAAAGCAGCTGCTTCTGAAAAAAGTCGTCTCCAGAAACAGCCTTTTTGGTTAGGCTAAACGGACCCATAGCCCGTGGTGCACCAAATTCCCCAGCATCCTGTGATAGTGTATCAAACCCACCAGACTCTCCTATTTACAACCGACAGCCGAAACGCATCCCCAACGGCTCAAGACTCCCAAATCCTAACCCCTCTTAGCCATCATCATCACTAATAATTTCAAGGTTTCAAGCAGTACACTAAGGACAGGAAGTATGAGAAATATTGATAACATGATATAATAGACAAATAAGTGCAAAATCATTGGGTGGCTTATTCCATACCTCTTTGTTCTAAGGAAAACACGGAGTTCGTCGATGAGCTGCTTTTCATCCAACACTGTGTATTTCAAATCTGTGTATCTTTCCTTGTCAAGATGAATAAGAATGTCTCTAAAGACTTTCTTCAAGTCAGGATCTTGGCCAACAGGAACAAAAGCCCCATAATCGAATATAAGCATATCATACACTGCCTTGGCAAGAGTAGTTTTGCCGAGCCCACCAACTCCCACAACAGAAACAATCTTCATCTTCTGAGAACACAAGGTTGATATGTGCCCTTGTGTTTCTTTGTGTGTTGAGTGATTGTCAACGAGCTGGCGCTTCGGGTTGAGTTTGTGAACTAACCGTGGCGTGAGTTGGGTTATGCAACATGTCTCATGGCTTGTGGTGCGCAGGTGTGGAGCTCGGAGGCGGTGGTCGACGGCGAAGATGAAGGTCATGCGGACAGATGCTGGGCTTGGACCAAGGGACCAGGAGACCGAGTGACCAGCCGCGGTGGCTGACACATGGGGACATCGACAAGCGCAAGTGTACATGGAGGAGTGACCGTGTTGACTGAGTCAAGACGGTGGTCGGGCGAGTCGAGCGGAGGCTCTGGAGGACTTGGCGGCCGATCTGTCGAGGACGAGGTGACACGTGTCGGAGTGCGGGGGATGCGTATGGAGTACGCTACTCGTGGGTGGACGGTTTTTGGGTTTGGGCCTCAAAACCCGGGTACGGTTCCGGCGGGAATCGGAGGAGGCAGGTGGCGTCATCGCGAGGCTTGCATCGAGGCGAAGCTAAGTCATGAAGGGCGCGTGGCCGTCGGATCAGCAGAACTTCGAGTTGGACCACAATACCCATTTGGTTAGGTGGTTCACTCTAAATATCTAGGGGCACTTTGGGGATGTGTAATAGGCTCCATAAATAAGAGATGGCTGCCCCCAAGCCATCTTACCTCTTTAGTTTTTCATTCTCTAGGTTACCCCTCCCTCTATTCATCTGCTGGAGAGGTCCACAGATGAACTTGTGACCATCTGTGTAATCCGGATCATGCTAAGTGGGAAGTGAGGCCTTTACCTCACGTTGTCCTCTGGGATTCAATTTCTTGTCCCGTGCTCTTTGGATTTGAGTTTTGGTTTCTCATCTCCTGGTATTCCCCTTGTCTTGATTGTGGTTATTCCTTTGAATGCAAGATTTTGGGGTCTTTTGGGTTGGATCAAAACGTGCAAGGACATCTGAGAATCATTCCCACCAAATGGCTTGGGCAGATTCAACTCGAGCACGAAAATCCACTCTTTTGAGGAAATTTGAGAAAACCCTAACCTTCTTGATGGATTTTGAGATTGCTTGAGATTTGTTGGGTTTTGGGTCTTGAAGATGGGTCTTGAAGATATCTTCTCAACACTACCAGGAACCTCCCTGCAAAATTTCAAGTCAATCCGAGTTGATTTGGTCGAGTTTTGGGCTTGGAATCGAATTTTCTTAAATCTGCTCACGCAGACCAGACACGTCCAGTATTAATACCGGACATATCTGGTACATAAAACTTGAGTTTTGAGCTGAAATTTGGTGGATATCTTTCCTAAGGTGTCTAGTGTCTCTGGTTAAGATTTCATAATTTTTAGACCCCGTTTGATAGGGTTTTTGATTTTTCTCCCAAAGTCGCTCTGTGCTGTCCAGCATATTGGACACGTCCGATATGCACACCGGACACGTCCGGTATGAGCTGACCGCTCCCAGTTCGCAGCCTTGAAAACCGGACATGTCCCGTATACCAACTGGACACGTCCGGTGTGGGCAGCAGCAGTGCTGTTTCTTCTGCAGTTTATGCCTTTGGGCTCCTTTTTGAGATCTGTCTTTTTGCATTGGTTTTTCATCGATCCAAAGAAACTTTCACAATACTCTTGTCACCAGTTTGACTCGAGTATTTTGAATCGGGAACATGCTTCTCTCCTATAGGAGTTAAGTCCCCACCATTCGGATCTTCGGTTCTCGAGTCTTCTCCGGTTTGCTCGGCCGTGTTTTGAGGATCCCGCTGTATCTCTCGGTCATCACCGGAGATACCCAGTCACCAGTTGGCTCGTGGATTTCTCGTGTCGTGAACGTTTGCTTTTTGGGGTTGATTTTGGGACAGTGGTCGAAAGTTTCAAAAGAAATTTGAGGCTCCCATTCACCCCCCCTCTGGTCGCCGTTTTCGGCCCTTCAATTGGTATCAGAGCCGGTTAAGGATCATTTCACCTTAATCGGTCTATGATCCACGAAGGCGACATGAAGCGCGGTTCAAGCAAGCCGCCGTTCTTCGATGGAACAAACTACCCGTATTGGAAGATCCACATGTCTACGCATCTCCAGAGTATCAACTCGTAGGTTTGGAGATTTGTGAGGATCCAGATTATGTTGTTCTTGCTGCTCGTATTGGTCAGGAGCAGATTAACCAGCACGATGCCAATAGCAAGGCACGTAATGCAATTTTCTCTTGCCTTTCGCTTTCTGAGTTTGATCGTGTTTCTCACCTCGCTACGGCTCGAGAGATCTGGCAGACCCTTGAACGGTATCATGAGGGGACTTCCCTGGTCAAGACCAGACTCTTTGAGACGTACCGACATGAGTATGAGAACTTTGTTCAGTTGCCTGGAGAGTCTATTGATTCTATATTTTCTCGCTTCCAGTCAATTGTGAACAAGATGCGGGCAAATAAGCCGCAACTACCCTATGACGATCATGCGTTGATCATCAGCCAGTTCTCGTGGTTTCACAACAACCGCATGAACAACCGGCATGGTGGTCAGAAGGAGGGCTGCTTCCACTATGGCGATCCCGACCACTTCATCGCCAACTTCCCCAACAAGAACAAGCACTCCTCCGGCAATCACGACGCTGGCAAGTGCAAGGACAAGCGCGAGTACACCTCCGGCAAGCACAAGTCCAAGGGTGTAACACCCCTGGTGTTACGAGCTTATTTAGCACCGCGATTTAGGCCTAAGTCAAAATTTTGAAATGAGTTTCTCGGATTTTATATTTAAAACGTATTCGACGCGATACGTGAATCCTGTGTGACTTAGTTTCGTGGACTCAAGTAAACGCTCAAGTTAAATCATGCCGGGCGTAGAAATATTTAGGAATGTCGAACGGCAATTCTGGCCGATCGATAGCAAACGGTTCGTTCTATTAGATTAAGCATGAAAAGCAACGTTTATAAATAAAATAAAATTCATTAATAAATAGAACGATATACATATATATATAGCTTTTGAATCAAATTTAAATTCGAGCTTGCTGAAATTTTCCTGTGCCTAGACGTTGCAAATTGACTAAAGTAGTAAACCGATATATATATATATATATATATAGTTGGGAGGCATTAGGTGGTATCAGAGCATAAATGAGGAAATAAAGCTTCGAAACCTTTTCTAAGCTAAAATTTGACAACCTATTTTTGCAAAAAGTTAGGACGTTTGTATGCGAAGTTATATAAGTAGCCCTATTACTATTCTTATGTATCCAGGATAGATGGCACTCTACTGACTAAGATAGCCTTAATCAAGTTTTTTGTAGGTACACTGACTCGAGCATAGTCCGATAGTATCGACTAGTTATAGGGAGAGAACGATGTGCCAAAAATTTAAGAATGGTTGCCCTATATGTTGGCAACAGTGATAGGACGTATAGGACGTGCATTCATGCATATCATGTTTGTGCATTGTAGTGCTCGTATTGCTTGTAGATACGCCATCCATAGGTGTCACGCGTGTCGGGTTGATGTCGGATTGTGCAAGATTGCTTCGTTCCTGTTCTGGAGTTAGGTTTGCACTGTGGCTTCGTGCTCTGCGTTCGCCCGTGGTTCACGCCTGTCGTGACCCACGTCTCCCCGTACCCCTTTTCTGCGCTCTTGTTGGGCCCTTGCCCTGCAGTCGTACTAGTTAGTAATGGCATCGCACGTCGCTCGCCTCGAACGTGCGGAATTTGGTCGATTCATCATAGTGACCCCGCGTGGGAACCCTAGTGGACCACGCCAGGAACACTGAACGCTTCGCCTTTATAAGCAGAGTCTGGCTTAGCCATTGGTACCACCACTCGGCGCACTTTAGCTCGCTTAGCTTCTCCTTTGAGCCAACCTTTCTTTTCGCTCAGCCTTCCTTGCAACCACCGCTAGAAATGGCAGGAGCCTGGGTTAGTACCTACTGCCTAAATGTTGAGGGTTTTCCCAAAATCCTGCATGCCATCCTGCAAAAGCTTAGAGTTAAAGATCGTCCCGAGTATGAGGGCCGTGAGTATGAGAAATATGGCACCGATCGGTGTGAGGTTACCGTCTACATCAGGAAAAGTGAAGAGTTCCCCGACCTCACTGAAGCCTGGAGTGTGACCGCAACTGGGTGTAGCTTCGCTAACACCTACCAGGTTGTGGCCCGCAAAGCCTTGCGGCACCTCTACCAGATCTATGAAGAGCCCATTGCCCGTACCCCCATGAGGTTCTTTCCACCCTTGGACAAGAATCGGCGGGCATGGAAGGCTCGCATGGAGGCTTTGCAAGGGCGGGATGCGCAAGAGGACAATCCAATCGTGGTGCACTTGACCACGTACCTGCTCGCTCTGGATGAGCAGTATGATTGGCAAGCCTTGGAGCTGAGGGCGTGCCTTCGGCGCGCCAATGAAGCCAAGATCTTCAACCAGATGCTCCAGGTGCAGCTCGCCGAAGCGCATGCCAGCGCTGCAGCTGCTGAGAGTCGGGAGGCTGCCATGGAGGAAGCTCTAAAGGAGGCTGAGGATCGGCATGTCCATCAGTTGGGTGAGGCCTATGTGTTCACTAGGGCCAAGCAGAGGATGTTGGTTGATGAAAGGCAGGATGCCCCAATCTTGGAGGGGATCCCTATCCACCCGCTTGAAAGAAAGAGAACCGGTGATGCAGAACTGCCAGCACCTCCACCTTCGAAAGTGTAGAAGCAGAACCCTTGGTTCCTCTCACTCAGCCATTGCCACAAGAAGATGCGGATCTGTAGCCAGGGTGGTAGAAGAATCCACCGAGCCCCTGAATGAAGATGCGTGGCTAGAGTAGCTTAGTTGCCTTGGAATGTTGTACCTATAGTAGTAGTGGTAATTTTCACCGTTGTCCTTCGTATTGTACTCTTGCTGTTGTTATCATCCGTAGTGTTGAGATCACCCGACCGTAAGTGAATGCCGTGTTGTGCATGGGAGCCTGAATGCCTATATGATGTACTCGTATCAGACCATTGGAATACGCATTTTGTTATTTCGTTGTGTTTATTGC